GCAGGGAGAAACCAGACAGATATGAGGACAAGCTGTTGTACAGATATTTCAGAAGTACTCTCATTTATCAGGAATGAGCAAATTGTCAAGAGGTAGCAAACCAGGAAGAAATCAGACACAGGAGGCTTTGATACAAAATAGAATGGATTGTTTATTTACAAGGGATGGGGTTTTGGATCCGGGGTTTTCACTGTGGGCGAGAAAAGGAGGAACTGTTAGCTTGAGCCTTGGATAACAGGATGATTGAAATGTTTGTTTGTTTGGCTTACAGTCACGAGGAGATCCCAAGGCATGGAGGAGGATTTCATATCTGCAAGAGAGGGGATTGAGCTCCGCGAGCGGACATCTGCACTCATGCGCACATTGTCTCCTCTCGTGCACAGAATCTCTGACCGCGTGCGCGCACACACCATTACCCTCGCACGAGCCTTTTCTTTCCCCCCTCGCGCGAGCTTCCTCTGCTGCTTGCTCGCTCGCCAGTTATTTTTGGCAGAAGGTGGACGGAGCCAAGTTGGGGTTCTGTTAATACACACGATTGGTTAAGGTCCCTGTCTTCTGTGATTGGCCAGCTTTGGAAAAAAAGCGGAAGAAGAAGCTTCTGCGGACTGGAGCATGGTCAAAACGTGGTCAAAGCTAGGAAGGCATGGCAGACCATCAAGAGGTGAGTCACGTCTATCTTGAAATGCTTAATTGTCTTTGTGTAACACAACTTACCATTTTCTTTAGCTCAACATTTGCTAAGTAACTTTCCAAACATTGCCTCTGTTATCTGTCTGCAGTAGCATTCGGTAATTTGATGGCCCACCTAAGCTAACGCTATCTGACTAGTCTGTTTTGTTTATATTTGTACAGACATAGATGCAAAATGCTGCCATGCAGGTAGTTGCACTAATAAGAAGTGCCCTGGCTGAGAGTGACCCATCTACTCAAAACCGTAAGTGTGCTCTCAGCATGGTGTAAGATTATTTAGCTGTCATTCTATAAATAGGCCATTTTATTTTTTAATGGCTGCATAGTAATCATAAAAACACCACTGATGTGATTCACTGAAAATGAGTGTGATCTTGAAGATTCAATTCAATTCAAAAATACTTTATTGATCCCAGAGTGAAATTAGGTGGACATAGGGGAGGGGATGGAGAAAGATGGGCAAAAGAGAAAGAAAGACACGGTCACTGTTGGTTGCTTCCTGCAGTGGTTTACTGGACAGGCACATGTTCCCATCACCTCAACAGAGTGTGAAAGATTCAAGATCCATATAGGATTTGACCATGACTGTGTTGTCAAACCCCCCATGTTCGAACACTCAATAAAGGTTTATAAAAAAAAAAAGAATTACTACAGTTTACTTAGACTGAGATGCTTGATAACTGACTTTTACTCTCAACTTTTATTTAAGATTTTTTTTCACTTAAGTCCATTCTTAAAAAGGGGATTAGCATGATTCTTAAGAGTAATTATAAGAAGTTTGATAAATATGGGCTCTGGTCTGTAAGAACTGATACCTAGTCCTGGTTCACACTCCTTACCGGTGGTGGCAGTAATGTACCACATGTTTGTCAACTGCCATAAAAAACCAAGACGAAGAAGAACTGATACCTGAAATTGCGTTTGAACTACAGCGTCTGATGCACACGCGCGAGAATTGACCAAGGTGGAGACGACTGTGCAGTGTAAAGTAGCACGTTTGCTTCGTGAGAAATGGCTATGGAAACGCTTCACGTAAGATTTTTCATTTTCTTAATTCATAGGGATATTAGAAAGTAACATTTCATAGTTAGAAATGATCACAAATGCTAGAAGTGGGCCAACGTCAAGTTTAGCAGGAAAAAGCTGGGGTTGCTATCACAACAACAAATTAATGCACAAATTCAACTGTTAAATTGTAGGCAACACGATCAACTATGATGTGTTAAACATTCCTTTAGGGTCGTAGATGATAATTTTTGTAAACATCAAAGCCATAAATCTTTATCTGTTTATTTTATTTTCTTCAATTAGCACAAATACAATGGCGTTTTAATAGCAACCACAGTAGTAGGCCTGTGACCTAGAGGAACAAGGCTTTGCTATGCACATGCACTCTAAAAGCAAAAGGTTTATTTAGATTCAACACTAGATAGTGAAACTGCAGACATGTTTGTACTAAATATTCCTGATTGCCCATGTAAACTCTTTTTTTAATTGAAAGCATTATATTATATTAAACTTTCATAAGTTATTTCTTTTTTTATTTTAAAGGAACCACAATTATTTGTAATGTTAGACTTTAGTAGATAAAAATCTATTTTAACTGTAAAATAAAGATGACAATACATTTTAACACATTTCTCTCTGCAGCATATTCTGAGACGTCAGATTCAGGAGCGACTCCTGTCAAAAATTGAGCTTGCACTAACTCGAACCCCACTTGACCTAGATTTCATGGAGTTTGTGTGTTGCCAGGAACTCTACCTTTTGTAAGCCCTTTCACGACATGTGGACATACCACAAGAAATAATACGAGCTCTTAGGGATTTATTTGGACTTATCAGGCAACAGTTAGATTCACCAGCCTTACATACAGCAGTGGGATCAGTGGCTGGCCTGACAGGATGTCCTAGGTTGGAAATTGAAAGAGAGCAATTGGTTGAGATGTTGCTGACAAACCTCTCAGTGCCCTGCATAGCAAATCTGCTTGGTGTTTCAGTCCGCACAGTCTTTAGGAGGATGAGGGAGTTTGGCTTATCAGTTTCAGAACTGTACAGTTCCATCAGTGATGAGGAGTTGGACAATTTGGTGACAGCCATTAAGAATGACATGCCTGCTGCTGGATACCGAATGGTGAGAGGACGGTTAATATCTATGGGTATTAAAGTGCAATGGGCAAGGATGGTTTCCTCGATGCACAGAGTGGATTCAATTGGAATCCTCTCCAGACTGGCCAGGCGTGTTGTGAGAAGAACGTATTCTGTTTGAGGGCCCCTCACACTTGTACACGTGGACACAAATCACAAACTAATAAGGTACTGTATTAGTATTTTTAAATGTATTTTATATAGATTATAAATGGTCTGCTTTTTATCTTCATCCTGCAAGGCAAGGATCCTCCTACTGGCACTAGCAGGAATGAATGTGTACTCTGTTGCTAAAAATAAGTTTGCCACCTCTCCCCATCCTCCTCCCTGCTGCAGGTGCTGTTATCTCTGCCCTGCGTTCTGGCTTTCCCCACAGTCAACAGTATTCTTCTCACCCCCTCTAGTTGGATCATGTGACTAATATGGAGTTTTTGCTTGGAGGATTGTGTGTAAGATCAAAATTTGTCAGGTAGTGTAACTCTATTGGACATACAGTATGTTGCTTTTGTGCAGGTTTCAAATATCTCAGTACGTCACTATAATGACAGGAATCCTGCAGAGCGAAAATAAATAAATAAATAACACGTATGTATGCATGTATGTATGTATGTATGTATGTATGTATGTATGTATGTATGTATGTATGTATGTATGTATGTATGTANTGTATGTACTGTATGTATGTATGTATGTATGTATGTATGTATGTATGTATGTATGTATGTATGTATGTATGTATGTATGTATGTATGTATGTATGGTAGTGTGGATATTTTAGGTTTGCCTAGATTTGGTCCAGTTGTATATCTCCATCCTTACTTTTCTTGCTTATATCCCACCCTACAATGCGGTGCCGTCGGAACAATTTGTGCCCTTTTTTACTTTGAGCACCTGCCCTTTTAGTGGTCTCTGCACGGCCCTGCTACAGAGTCTTCAGTTGAGTCCACAGTTCCAATCTCTGCTCTCGAGTCATCAGTTCCTGTCTTTGAGTCATCAGTTTCAGTCTCTACATCATCATCATCAGTTCTAGTCTCTACATCATCATCATCAGTTCCTGAAACCCCGGGTTGTATTGTAAAGTCCCTGGGTCAGCCCAAGTTTCCAGAGTCCCCGGGTTGGATTGTAAAGTCCCCAGGTCAGCCCAAGTTTCCTGAGCCAGAGCCAGCACCCGAGTCTCCTGAGCCAGAGTCAGCACCCGAGCCTCCTGAGCCAGAGCAGGCACCCACGTCTCGAGAGTCCAAGTTGTCCATGACTCGGGAGTCCAAGTTGTCCACGTCTCAAGAGTCCAAGTTATCCACATCTCGAGAGTCCAAGTCACCCACGTCTCGAGGGTCCAAGTCGCCTACATCTCGAGGGTCCAAGTCGTCCACATCTCGAGAGTCCACGTTGTCACCAGTCTCTGCTCTAGAGCCACAGCCTTGCTTCGGCTGTGCTCCGAGCCGACCTCCTGAGAACTTGGCTCCTGTCAGATGCACCTTTGGTCATCCTTGGAGATTTTTTTTTTCTGTTTTTGTTTCGTGTCGCAGGGCTCTCCTGCCAATTTTTCTTTCTTTGATTTGTTTTCTGCCCTTCTTTGTCTTGCCTGTCCCATCCTTAGTCTTGCTTTCTTTGTAGTTTGTCTTATGCCCTCCGTCCTGTGGTCTGTTTGTACCCCCTCCACCCTCCCGTGTTTATTATCATATGGAGATGATCTTTGAGGGGGGCACTGTCATGGATTATGTCTTGTATGTTCGTTTCGTCTTGTGCTATGCCCCCTCTGGTGTCCATGTTCTGTTTTCCTTGCCCATCTTGATCCTCAGTCTTTTTCTGGATCTTTCTAGTCATTTCTTTCACACCTATCCTCAATTGTAATCGCCCAGCTGCTTCCTACTTCTACTCAGCCCTGTTTGTATTTAACCAGCTTCACTCCACCACTCCTACGTCTGGTCATTGTTTGTTCTGGTTTAGTTCTCATCCCATGTTTTCATGTTCGCCTCGTCTCTTTTCTTTTGCATTTTATTTTAGTTTTTGCTGCCTTGTCAGCTCTTTTTCTTTGTTTATTTTACTTTAAGTCTTTCCTGCCTGCGTTTTGGGTCCACCTCACCTTCTGAATCCTGTCAGTTCTGAAGAGAGCTGAAGAACAGGCCGAACTGAAATGGTGAAATTTCATTATCTGAGATTAATTTTGTGAATTAAATCAAATGAACATGTTTTGTAGAGCCCACAGATGGATCCTAACTTGTTCTAGGACCCCCATATTAGGTCACCTTTAAAGAAGCTGGGTATTTTGGGCCTCTGCTTTTGGGTAATATTTTTTGGAATCAGGCTTCTTTATGGAGGATTATTAAATTTTGTATGTAGAGCCTTATGTGTTTAGGGCTAGGCTTGTATTTGTGTGGTTAATTTTAGGCAATGGGTCAGGGTTGGCATGTATCTAAGTGGTTAATTTTAGGCCATGAGTTGGGGTTATATCCATGATATCCATGATAGTTGAAGGAATCTGTGAGATTGCCCTATATGTCTGTATTCCTGCAAAATGGGGGATAATCTGTGCATTTCACAGACAATCTGTACAACTTGACATATACGTGCATCTTGTACACTCAAAGAAATGAAGTGTTGGATTTACTTAACCCAGTTATGTCAACTAGTTCAAGTGAACCTTCGGTAAATGTAAATCATTTTACACATTTTCATTTTAAGAACTCAATTTAGCTGACCCAAATTACAAGAGGAAAACAAATATTGTAAAACATGGTTATTATTTCATGACAGCTACAAGGCTACCAACTTCATTTTAATTGTTTAAATATTGCAATATTCATTATTGGTTTGTTGTTGTTGTTCTTGTTGTTGTTTGTCATTTTAATTTGCATAATGTAGGTTTGACATAGAGTAAAAATGTGCCAGCAATTAAAAAATAATTGAATAAATAAAAACTCAGCAATTCATTCAGATTTATTACTATAAGTACAGTATATGTTTATGATAAAAGCAAACAAAGAAAAAAAAAAGATCTTACCATATTGACTGAACAATCACACAACAGGCAGTGTCATTGGCTGAGGCAAAGAGAAAAACATTACAGACCTCCCCTTTGGCGTTTATGTTCAATAAAAAGGCCACAGTACTGGTGACTTTATAATTAAGGTTTTTAGGTGGGTATTCTGGTGAGGAATTATGCTGCTCATTGTTGATCTGCTATTATTTTGGTTTCTCAATGTGAAGGAAGGAAAGTCTGAGTGTCAAACCTTTGGTGCAGAAGAAATGTCTCAGTTTTTTAAGGACGGAGATATTATCATTGGTGGGATTTTTCCCTTCCACCAGTACCCCATAACACTAAATCAAACGTACAGAACCAACCCAGGAGTAATCCAGTGTGAAGGGTAAGACAAGGCTTTAAAAAATTACATTTTGTGCTGTTTACATTCATGGTTTTAAACCCTTTATTTTAACTTTGTATACTGTTTTTTAGTGTTACCCTTTAAGCAATGTTTACAGTTCAGTCCTTTTTTACAGATTGGAAGTAGGTGAACTTCAATATGCTTACACCATGATGTTTGCAATAGAGGAAATCAACAACAGCTCAGAGCTGCTACCAAACCTAACACTTGGATATAGGATCTTTGATTCCTGCCCTAATACCCCCATGTCCATCAAGGCATCATTAAATCTTATGAATGCACATGAAAGCGTGGAAGGAATCTGCAGCAAATTCTCCAGTGTGCAGGCTGTTATTGGGGAAACTACTTCAACCTCTACAATAGGTATTGCACGTACGCTGGGACCCTTCAATATACCTGTGGTGAGTTTTTGCTGCAAACTTTTAACAGTACTGATATTTCACTTTGCATCTTTTAAATGCAAAAGCTAAAATATAATTATTTTTGCTCTTGCCATTTAGATCAGTCATTCAGCTACTTGTGCATGTCTTAGCAACAGAAGAGACTACCCCTCTTTCTTCAGAACAATACCCAGTGATTTATTTCAGAGCAAAGCACTGGCAAAGCTTGTGAAACATTTTGGCTGGACCTGGGTTGGAGCCATWMGRTCYAATARTGAATAYGGAAATGGTGGCATGGCTGCTTTTCTGGAAGCTGYAGRAAARGAAGGTGTGTGYRTTGAGTATTCAGTGGCTGTTGAGCGYACCARYTCYAGAAAGTGGTTTYTWGAGGTTGTGGATGTTATAAAAAAATCCACCTCCAAAGTAATTGTTGCATTTGCTGATGGCCCAGACCTTGACACCCTGATTAAAGAGCTTTTTGTTCAGAATGTAACGGGTCTGCAGTGGGTAGGAAGTGAGGGCTGGATTTCATATCGTCATTTTGCATCTGCAGTTAATTATGCTGTGGTTCAGGGTGCAGTGGGCTTTGCAGCTATGAATGCTCATATTCCTGGATTGCAGGAATTTCTAGCCAACAGCAGACCCTCCACTACTCCGGGTAATCAGGGACTCGTCAAGCTGTGGGAGATGCTKTTTCACTGCACGTCATCTCCCCAAACAAACATGCATGAGAACTTTACAGTCTGCAGGGGGACAGAGACTCTGTGGGATGTACAGACACAATTCACTGATATTTCAGATGCCAGCCTGTTGAATAATGTTTACAAGGCCACATATGCTGTTGCCCATGCTCTGAACATGCTATTTATTTGCAATGATGGAAAGGGGCCATTTGATAATAATACATGTGCTGATAAGRAACATGTACAGCCATGGCAGGTAAACATGTAAAACACTGCTTGACTTAACACAATAATAATATTGTACTCAGATGATAACTGTATCCCTGTAGGTGCTGTATTACCTGTCAAAGGTCAATTTTACCACTAAAATWGGTGAAAGGGTGGTCTTTGATGAGTCTGGAGACCCTGTGGCACATTATGCACTAATAAACTGGCAAATGGACAAAACAGGATACATTCAGTTCAAAACCATTGGGTTTTTCGATGGATCTCAACCTGAAGGTCTGCAATTTGAAATGAAATCAGATCTGAAAGCCATCTGGGCTGGAGAGAGTTATGATGTGAGTCAATACATTTTTTTAAATTATTTATTAATTTTTGTTGTTACTTTAAATGTTACATGATTACCTATTTAGTCAGTGTTTTAAATTTCTGAATGTAGTCTGTTTTAACTGGTATTCAGGTGCCGAGGACTGTTTGCAGTGAGAGCTGTTTGCCAGGGACTCRTCGAGCTTTCATCAAGGGCAAACCTATCTGCTGCTTTGATTGCATTGCCTGTGCTGATGGAGAGTTCAGCAACAGCACAAGTGAGACAGCAGGATTTGTAGCCTTTACCCTGGTGCTCTTTATGTTTCTGCTGGGTAAAATCAMTGCCAGMAMTTTSCTGGTTTATCTRAAGATGTGCTCTTTGYACAGCTTAAATATATTTATGCTTTCAGATGCAGTGACATGTCACAAATGTCCTCCWGAGTACAAGTCCAATGAAGAGAGGAATAACTGTGTCATAAAAGCTACTGAGTTTCTCACCTTCACAGAAATCTTGGGTATATTATTTGTTATTTTTTCTAGTTTTGGTGCTTGCTTGGCACTGAGCATAGCCCTCATATTTTTCTACYACAGAACAACTCCAATTGTTAGAGCTAACAACTCTGAATTAAGTTTCCTGCTGCTGTTCTCTTTGACTCTATGTTTCCTGTGCTCCCTAACCTTCATCAGCCGACCCACTGAGTGGTCCTGCATGCTGCGACACACTGCCTTTGGCATCACMTTTGTCCTCTGTGTGTCCTGCATTTTGGGGAAAACAACAGTGGTTTTAATGGCCTTCCGGGCCACACTTCCAGGCAGTACTGTCATGAAATGGTTTGGGCCTACACAACAGAGAGTCAGTGTTTTAGCATTCACTTTTATACAGGTTTTGATTTGCACACTTTGGCTTACAATCAACCCACCTTATCCACACAAAAACTCTGAATATTACAAAGAAAAAATAATACTAGAATGTGCCCTGGGCTCAGCTGTAGGTTTTTGGGCAGTGTTGGGATACATYGGGATTTTAGCTTTGTTATGTTTTGGACTGGCATTTTTGGCCCGAAATCTCCCYGACAATTTTAATGAGGCTAAATTTATCACTTTTAGTATGCTGACTTTCTGTGCAGTATGGATCACCTTTATCCCAACATATGTGAGTTCTCCTGGTAAATTCAGTGTTGCTGTAGAAATATTTGCTATTCTGGCATCAAGTTACGGGATGCTGTGTTGTATATTTTTTCCAAAGTGCTACATTATTTTATTGAAACCTGAGAACAATACAAAAAAATACTTGATGGGTAAAGGAAACTTGGGAGCCTCTTGAAACGTTTCTAAAGAAATGAAGAAACTGTTTGGGGTCTTTGTATGTTAACCTCCATATATATTTGTGAAATAAATCAGGTAAATTATTCATTCTGCCCTGTTCACAAAGCATGTATGCTTTATTATGTCATTACAATGTCAAAACATCTTGGTTTTAAAGTGTTGAATGCTTTTGTGATAAATAAATACACACCATCCTAAATACATATTCAGTGTGCATTTTTATATTTGTTTTTTTACTCTCATTATCCATTTATTGTCTATTTTCTTAATGTAATATTACACGAGTAGAATTTTTTTATATGAAAATTTTCTGATGTATGGCATGTGAATTTTTTCAAGTTACAGTATTAATAGTTTTCTTTATACCTATTGATTAAAGAAAGGAATATCACGTAGAACAAGCTGTGTACATTTTAAGAAAAACAATGAGTCTTGTGCTAGAATATTTACAAAACTCCATTAAGTTCACACTGCCTTGACCTTCTATTTGTATCTTTTTGATAACTGCTACGATTTGCCATAATCTGTACTTGAGATTCTAAGACACCATTTGATGTCTAGGGACCTCATCCTCATTCTTAAAATCGTTATGTAACTGGTAACTTGTCATTCTGTGATAGGTTCTGTTCGATGCTCTGCCTGTATGATATATACCAGAGGTGCCCAAAGTGGCGCCCGTGGGCCAAAATTGGCCCGCCAAGCCATTTCATTTGGCCCACCAGTAGTTTTTAATTGCCTGTCATCCTCTGTAGAAACTCTGTATTTCCATGTAAGTAAGTAAGCAAGTAAACTTTATTTCTATAGCGCTTTTCACAGACCAGGGTCACAAAGTGCTGCACAAGTGTAAAATAAATAAATAAATTAAAAGCAACATACAAAACAATAAAACACAGTATTA